CTCTCCTTGAGCTCGGCCGACGGCTGCCGGGCGCACCGCCGCCGTCTGTGGCTCTGGCGGGGGAGGGCCCGCTGCGCCGGCCGCGCGCGCGCCGCTCGCGCGCGCCGCGGCAGCTGGCCCGGGCTGCCTGAGGGCGCGAGGCCCCGCGGCCTCGTCTACGGTCGGGCCGAGCTGTCGGAGCGTCAAGCAGTGGCGAAGCGGCCTGGCGTGCCTGCAGTCCTGCCGAACAAGGTTCTAAGAACCTTTTCTATGGTTTTCCGCGAAGTATTCTTTAGAACGTTTCTGGCTGGAGTTGTCTTATTTCAGCACATCGGGTTTATGTTCTAAGAACATTGCTTTTGTTATTCGAACATTTTTGGGTTCTAAGAACATTTCGTGGTAGGCATACAGACATGCCAGGACGGTCGGTCCCTGCTCAAGGATCGAGGTCCAGTACATGGACAAAATCTTCGAACCCTCACACGTTTGAGGGGAATGTTCATTCCCCCCCCCCCTCGGCCCCCGAAACCAACCAATGTTTGTTTTGGCATGGGTGGTTGTCTGGGGGTTCGGATAGTTTTGTCCGCACATGCCCTCTCCATTGGCGCACCCTCAATATTGATTTTGGGGGTCCGCGGGGTTATCGTGCGCCGCAGGGTTCGAACTTGTTGTCCAGGTACGGTCGGTTCGAGTAGGGTACCCTAGTTTTCTTCGTGTCTAGGTCTAGCCGTACCCGCGTCGGCTCGTCCTCGTCGTCGTCGTCGTCGTTGACGTCGTCGTCCCAGATCTCCGGCGACCTGTTTTTTCAATCAGCGTTTTTTTCTTCGATGTCGCCCTGATTCCAGATCCGCCGTGTTTGTTGGGCGATCTCGCGACCAGATCGGAACTTTCCGCCCTACGTGCCATTTGATGCCGATGTTCGCCCTATTTTGCCGTCGCTGTCTCCGCCATACCTTTGCGGGAGTAGTGATCCGTCCTGCTGTTCCGAGGCGGAAATGTAAGTTCCTCCCGCATCGTTTGGGGTGCATTTCCGATACGATAGTGAGTCGGAAGATCAAGCAAAGCGCGTCGCATCCCAAGTCAGGGGAGGGTCATTATACCAGGCCCCAGGGCCAGCCCAAGCGGATCCAGGACGAGACAACCCGTTGGGATAAGCCGCCGGGATTTCTGGGGCCGCGGATGATCGGCAGATGTCAAGGGTCGTCGTCGTCGTCGCCGCTGCCGCCGTCATCGTAACCGTCGCCGTCGCCGCCGTCATCGTCGTCGTCGTCGTACGCAAACTGTCCTTGCTGTCGCAAGTCGTCCGTCATCGTCGTCGTCGTAGTCGTCGAGGCAGGCTGTCGAGCATCACAGGTCCGAGGTCGCCGGCTGGTGTGCTGTGCGTCCTGGGCCTCATGTTTCCCAGGCCCAGAGGTCGGCCCATGGTGCTTGGAGGTGGTGGCGGTGGGACGGTGGCACGAGCGCGACGCTGTGCTCTATCAACTGCCCTGCTTCTGCTACCCCAGAGAGGCAGGCAAAAGACAGTCGATCGTCGATTCCCAGGAAAGGAGGCGGATGGCGGGGGGGATCGGAGGAGGGCTGGTTGAGACAACGGTGGCGGCCCCCTTGCACGCGCGCACGGGAGTTCGAATGATTTCGACATGCGCGCGCGAGAGGCCCGTTTGGTCGCATCTGATGAAAATATTGAGCAACCGATGGTTTCTCAAGACTTCGCAAGGGCGCGTGCGCTCATATTGCAAGAACAGATGGCAAAATCATTGATTGTTCATATGTGCCATACAGTCGATATTGAAATGCGCACGATGCCTAAGGCGCTCGTGTGCACTTCGTTGCATATGTTGTGATGCTTTCTTGCAGGTTCATGGTTCTTGATAGCGAATGCGCGCGCGACTTACTATGACGCGGAGATAAGAGGGCGGGGGGTCGGACCCAGCCTGGCTGGGATGGTATGAGCTCATATTTAGAGTGAGCGCTGGGACTGAATCGTGTGTAGCTGTCACATCCCCCGGGGGGACGGATCATTCTGGCTTCGGGAGGGCGGTGGATCCGAACTCCCTCTCTGAAAGAGAGCACGGTGTGCAGCTCACTTCTGGAACTCGCAGTTGTTCACTCCGCTGCTGGCGCAGTCATCCCACCCACCCACCCGCAAACTGGTTTGCAAAACCCATACGGCGGCGATTCCGATGAGTGCTTGGCGTTGGCTGGTGGATTTTTGCGGCCGCGCGAGCCCGCGCATGCTCGCGCGCGCAGCGGCCAGCTAGTCTGACGCGACCGACGCGGCCGCGGTGGCGCTGACCGCTGGGCACTTCACAGCGGGCACTTCAATGCAAGTCGGTGACTTGGGCGGGCGCGGTATCGTGGCGGCGCCGACAATGGTAGACAATATCGTGAAAGTATCGATGATGGAGGCGATGGCGTCGATGACGACGGCAAGGCCAATGACGACGCCGATGTTGACAACGCCAGCCGATAGCGATGGCGATTTTCTCGCGGCGGCGATGAAGGCGTTGGATGGAGTTAGACGTGCGCGCGCGGCCGACGCGCGCGAGTGGCCCGCGTGGTGATATTTGACACGGATCGTGCCCCCCCCAAGTACCCAACACGCGCGAACGGGCGTTCGAATGAGTTGGACGTGCGGCGCGAGAGGCCCTTTTGTGTGACAACTGATGTTGCAAAACCGTGTGCTTTGATATAATTTCGGGGCTCTCGTTTTTGAAATCCTTGCGAAGCCGACGGCTTCTTCCTTGAAGAGTTTCGGCATGCGCGCGCGACGATGCGCGCGCGTGCAGCGATTTCGGCACGCGCGCGAGAGGCCCTTTTGACAGAACTTGATGAACATGTTGAAAAGCAGGTTTGTTTTGTTGTTGCTGGTTTTTTTTTGTAAAAAATCAGCAAAGCCGCGAGCGCAACGTTTTGTTTTGTTTTGAAAATTCGTGATGCAGAACCACGTGTTCCTACATGCTTTCGGGGCACTCGGTTCTGAAATCCTTGCGAAACCTAATGTTTTCGGAAGGATTTCGGCATGCGCGCGCGACGACGCCCACGAGTGCACATCGTCCTGTTTTTAGCAAGGGACTCTTGGAAACGGCTGATTCTGAGTGCGCGCATATATTTGCTGCAGGGGGTGAGGGGGCGGACGATGCCGGCCTACGTGGGATGGCAGGGGCTTATATTGAGGATGGACGGTGAGGCTGAATCCTATGTCAATTGTAATTCGAAAGAGGTGGTTCGTTAACCCAGGAGGGGGGGGAGATCCTAATGTTTTTTTTTGGAGAGTCTACGTGGTGAAATTCACCCTGTCGGACTTGCAAGTGTCAACACCACTGCTCGCGCAATCATCCCGCCCACCCAACCGCAACTTGGTTTGCAAAACCCATGCGGCATCGATTGCGATGACTGCTTGGCGTTGGTTGGCAAATCGCTGCGGCCGCGCTAGCGCGCGCAGGCTCGCGCGCGCAGCGGCCAGCTAGCCGGGCGCGACCGATGCGGCCGCGGTGGCGCTGACCGCCGAAAACTCCCCAGCGCGTCTCGCAGGTCGCGTTGGCGCGACGGCACTTCGGGGCGAGCTGGTAGCTCGGGCGGGCGCGAATCGTGGCGACGTCCGACGTCTACAACGGCAGACGCGATGATGATTGTAGCGATGCTGACGACGACGATGACGACGACGGCAATGACGGCATCGATGCTGATCACTCCGATGACGATGATGGTGTCCACGTGTCGGCGACGAACGGTGTGAAAGGATTTCGACATGCGCGCGCGGCCGACGGGCGCGAAAGGCCCGCATGGTACTATTTGACAGGGAACGTCCCCCCCCCAGCACGCGCGCAACGGCGTTCGAATGATTTCGACGAGCGCGCGCGAGAGGCCCGTTTTGTTAGATTTGATGAAAACGTTGGAAAACCGATTGTTTGTTGAAGGGTTCGCAAGAACGCGCGCGCGCAAATTTTCTCTTGAAACACCACGTTGCAAACAAAAGCATTGGTTGTTTTATGTGTTCGGGACACTTGATATTAGAACGCGCACGGAACAGACGGTGTTGAAGGATTCCGGAGACCGTGCGCGACGACGCGCGCGTGCGCACGTCGCGTGGCATCTCGAAAGAAAGAAAATGTTTACAAGTTTGCGAGTTTTCAGTAAGAGCGTTTCGCTAGAGGGCTCAAACAAAACTCAGAAATTCTTGTCACCAGAATCTCCAACCAGGGGCGCCCGGGGGAGGCGTTTCCCAAGCCCGGCGGCGGTCCGGCAAAACGGTCCGGCAGCGTTCAGTATGGTGTTTTGGCTCGAGTTGGTCCAGAAGTAACCTTCTGTGGTGTCCTAGCTCGATTTGGTTCAAAAATATTGAGAAATGAAGCTCGCAATCGCGTTCTGGTTTCATGTCATTTCATTCAGAGCTGAGAAACCGTGTATTTTCGCGCATCCAGGCCACCCAGGGCGATATTCAACATGGTTGCCCCGATCTGAGACCACGTGTGTTATGTCCAGGCCACCCAGGGCAGTATTTAACATGGTTGCTTCGAGATGAGGCCACGTGTTTTCACACGTCCAGTCCACCCAGAAGGGGGTATCTAACATGGTGGTCCTGGGCTGGAACCGCGTGCTTTGAAGTGTCCAGGCCACCCAGGGCGGTATATAACATGGTTGGCCAGAGCTGGAACTGCCTGTTTTCATGTGTCCAGGCTGCCCAGGGGGGTATCTAACATGGTGGTCCTGGGCTGGAGCCACGCGTTGTCCTAATAGCGTTTCGCTGGAATGCTCTAATCGTGGTAAAAGATTCCGAGGTTCCTCTCAGATCGCAGATCCAGACATGAGGCTCACTATGATGTTCTGGCTCGACTTCAGATGTTTGGGTCCCTTCCCCAGCAGTAGTTTTTCATCCAAGGTTTTTTGTTGACAGCCCCGAGGCATGGCGAGAGTTCCCGGGGGCCGAAGACGGGCAAAGAACGCCCATCGTGACTTTTGCGCAGCGAGAGGGAGGCGGGGGGAGGACCCCAACCCCAACGCCGGCGAAGGCTCCCACCATGCCCGCGGCGGAGGCGTCGGAGGGCAAGACCGGCGGTGATGGGGCGCCGGTGGGCCGGCGATCGGGTCGTGCGGCGGGGGTTCCCATGTCATCTTCGCGTCGTGACAGAGAGGGCGCTTTGCTTCAGATTTAGGCAAGCTTACCTGCGTGATCTTTCCTTTCCCGCCCCCTTCTCCCCCCGCCGCCTTTCCAAGGGCCGAAGATGGCGTGCAGGTTAGCCCCGACTTGCGTGAAGTCCAGATTCCCTTTCGGGCCTAGTCACGCCCACCCCCCCATGACACCTCCATGCAAGTACGTCACTTTGCGGGAGTCTGAAAAACAGCGGCCTCGATGGCATCCTTGCGTCCTGCAAGAATCGCGACGGGAGGTTTTCGGCCGTCTTCGGCCGGGGCCCGGGTCCCAGGCCCGTGAAAGCTTACACGGCCAGGGGTGAAAAACTTGTCCTGAGGAGATGGTCGGGATCGGGAGTCCACGCTGACATGGGGGATCAAGATCCAAGGGATTGGAGTTCTCAGTCCTGCAGTTGTTCCGTAAATTTCGGCCTCGCGGAGGTCTTTTCCGGGCCCCAGGGCCATCATTAGCTGATCCCGGATGAACGATTGACCTTGGGGAGAGGGTCTGTCAGAGGCAAGGTTTTGGGGGGATGGGCTCAGGGGGGAACGTGGCCCCAATCGCCCACTCATCGCCTAGAAATTGGACAGCCCACCCCGCCCAGGAACGTGTGGTTCCGCTATCGAGAGCCTTTTGCCGATCTATCGGCGACGTATCGCCGATTCCAGGTCCATGTCCCCCCCCCCCCTGAGCCAGCTCCCCCGCGGCACAAAAAGGCGGACATTCCTCGTGCGATCGTTTCCGCCAGTGGACCCAGCCGTTCCTCGCGCGACCAACGTCGATGGCGCTCGCCTGACATCAGGCAAGGGGTCCAATGGCGCGAAGACAACTGCACTCGGAGCGGGGGGCTCGAAGTGGGCGGACCTTACCAACCCCCACCTCTCCCCTGGCGTCATGATTTCGTTCCCGCCTGCTGCAGAGCGACGTGGGCCCCGGAGGCCTGGTCCCCCGCCCGGGGGCCGGCACCTCACACCGAGCCGTGCATTGACGACGCCCTGGCCGTGCGGAGGCCGCCGGAGGCCGAGGAGTCCCCCTGCAACACCTCCGTCGTGAGGAGGCTCCTCCTCCTCCTCATCGATCCTCGAGATCCTCCTCGAGATCCTCCTCCTCCTCGATCCTCGAGATCCTCCTCCTCCTCCTCCTCCTAGAGATCCTCCTCCTCCTCCTCCTCCTCCTAGAGATCCTCCTCCTCGACCCTCGAGATCCTCGGACCACCGAGAGCGGATCCGGGAGGAGAGAGGCTGCCCCCCGGGGAGAGGGTCGACGGCTGGATAGCTTCGGGGGCCCGCAGGCGGGGGAGGCCGCGGGGGCGCGCCCCGCGCGGTCGCAGTCTGGGGGTCTGGGGGCCGCAGGCGCGTGCCTCCTCTCCGAGGGGGTGGGAGGAGGAGGAGGAGGGGGGGATGAGGACGAGGAGGAAGAGGAGGAGGACTCATAGGAGGAGGAGGAGGAGGACTCATAGGAGGAGGAGGACTCATAGGAGGAGGAGGAGGAGGAGGAGGAGGAGGAGGAGGAGGAGGAGGAGGGAGGAGGAGGAGGAGGAGGAGGAGGAGGAGGAGGAGGAGGGAGGAGGAGGAGGAGGAGGAGGAGGAGGAGGAGGAGGAGGAGGAGGAGGAGGAGGAGGAGGAGGAGGAGGAGGAGGAGGAGGAGGAGGAGGAGGAGGAGGAGGGAGGAGGAGAGAGGAGGAGGGAGGAGGAGGAGGAGGAGGAGGAGGAGGAGGAGGAGGAGGAGGAGGAGGAGGAGGAGGAGGAGGAGGAGGAGGAGGAGGAGGAGGAGGAGGAGGAGGAGGAGGAGAGGAGGAGGAGGAGGAGGAGGAGGAGAGGGGGGGGGGGGGGGGGGGGCGCCGCGGGGGCGCGAAGGTCCGAGAGGCGGGGGGGTTATTCACAGCTTGGCTTAAGTCGGGCCTGTCCCCCTACAGGGGGATTTTCGACGAAAAATTAAACATACACCAAAAATACACCAAAAAAGCAAAAACACATACTCAAATACTCAAGCTGTGAATATAGGGGAACAAAAAGTGGCATAAACATAAAAACTTGAAGGTCCGCGCGGATTTCTCGGATCGGCGCTGGGGCCCCCCCGGCGGCGCCTCCGGCGCCGCCCCTGGCGCGCTCCGCGCGCCGGGGACGAAGCACAACGCCAGAACAGTCTATGGCCAACCTGCAGCGGGTGAGCCAGTCCGCGCCCGTGCGGCGTACGGCAGAGCGCCTGCTCGGCCGCACGCCGCACGGGACAGCACTGCCTGGGGGATCGATCTTCGGGGACCTCAGGCAGGCGATGGTTCGGGACGGGAGTGGGCGGCGCAGAAAAACGGGCTCAGTTGCGCGAGCGTTTGCGCGCGAGCTGCCACGCGCAAGGTCGCGCGCGAGCACCATCTTCTCCACGCGGTGTGTCACGCTGGCGTCCCGCGTAGGCCGCGGCGTAGGGTCGCTATGTCGTCTCGCGCAAATCTTGTTCATCTTCGTCGCTCAAACGGATCCCCGCCTCGCAGAAGATGGCCGTGCGCCGCGCCGCGCGGAGAGCGGAATTGTGTGACCTGTTTGACAGACGACACCTCGGCCCTGACTTTCCCTGGGTGTGCAGCGCTCTCACGCCTCCCTTCCGTCCGTCTCCCCCTCCACTGATGACGATGACGATGACGATGACGATGACGATGACGATGACGATGATGATGATGATGATGATGATGATGATGATGATGATGATGATGATGATGATGATGATGATGATGATGAGGATGAGGATGAGGATGAGGAGGAGGAGGAGGAGGAGAGGATGATGAGATGAGGATGAGGATGAGGATGAGGATGAGGATGAGGATGAGGATGAGGATGAGGATGAGGATGAGGATGATGATGATGATGATGATGATGATGATGATGATGATGATGATGATGATGATGGAGGGTGGGCGTACTTATCAGGCACTTCCTCACGCATATTAAATATATTGATATTTCCGTAGGCGTTTGGCCCAGAGCGCTTATCACGCGAGGCCGCTCCTGGGTTTCATCATCAACGTCATCGTCGTTATCATCACCACCATCATCATAATCATCGTTATCAGCATCACCATCCGCATCATCATCAGCATCATCAGTAACACCATCATCTTTCCATCACCATCATCACAATCAACAGCAACATCACCACCACCATCGTCATCATCATTATCATCATCATCATCACCTCCCTCTCTCCGCCCCATCCTCCCTCCCACATCGCGGCGCTCCCTCCTCCGTCCCCCCACTGCCCCTTCCGCCCCTGCTCCTGCCCACGCCTCCGTCTCGCCTTCCCTCGTGCTCCACCTTCCTCTCCCGCCCTTCTCTTTCTTGCTCTCTCTCTCTCTCTCGCTTTCTCTCTCTCTCTCTCTCTCTTTTTTTTTTTTCTCTCTCTCTCTCTCTCTCTCTCTCCTCCAAGACTGCGAGGAGAGGACGGAGAGAAAATGAGACCCAGAGGGAGGGAGGGAGGAGGAAGGGGGAAGGAAGGGGAAGGAGGAAGGGGGAATGAATGAGGGAGGGAGAAGGGGAAGGAACATCGGGGGGGGAAGGAAGGGGAAGGAGGAAGGAGGAAGGGGAAGGAGGAAGGGGAAGGAAGGGAGAAGAAGGGGTGGATGAGGGAGGAAGGGGGAAAGGAACACGGGGGGGCGGGGGGGGGGGGGAAGAGAAGGTCATAGACGGGGAACAGCGGGCGGGGCGAAGCGGGGCCATACGTGCTCGATGTGAGCTTCCCGCAGGTGGCCAACGACCGCATCTCGGTGGTCTCCGCGGACGGGCACGAGACTTTGGCTGTCTGAAATTGCAGCCCTCCCTGATCCTTTTCTCCAGTTCCCTTCCCCCCTCCTCTCTCTCTCTCTCTCTTTCTCTCTCTCTCTCTCTCTCTCTCGCTCCCTTCAACATTCCGTCGACGTTCCTGAGGTCGGCCACGCTTCAAATTGATAAGTCACCCACTCTGGTCTTTCCGGGCCTTGGGCCAGACGACGACCTTGGGTATTTCATGCCGAAGACGCTGAAGGTAACCCAACCAAATGACAAGAATATGGGTCTGAACTGACTCACCCAGAAGCCTGATGCGACCAAAGAGGAACTGTCAAATGGGTTGTCCGGGATCGATGGGATGATGGGTGGCCAGGGAAAGCATCATAAGAAGTCACCCAAAGAGGTGACCAGGTGCATCCCGAACATTCTCCAGGGCACCATAACCCTACGAATCAGGCTGAAGAAGCTCCTGATTCGAGGTCCCCTGGGGATCGAGGATTCTCTGTCGCAGCAAGAAAGCTGTGCACCCTGCGTAACCGACGTGCCGGAAGGCGGTGAAGGAACGGGGTTTCCCCTCGCCGAAACTGTTTGTCTGGGGCGGGAAAATCGTTGATTCAGGGCATGAGCGCAGGTGGGAGCCAGCCCCTCTTGCGCGAGAAGGGCTGCGGGCTCTCCGCTGTCTTTGGCGGACGACGATGAATTGTGGGGGAGGCAACGCCGATTCGGCAATGATCGGCTGTGACCTCACATGCAAGGAAGTGCTGAATCGCTTCACAGGGAGAGCGGGTGAGGAGCCCGTTCCCATGCTCTACCGGCCCCCGGAGCTGGAGGAATCCGGGACCCACCCGCAGTGGCTCTTCCATCTGGACTTTGAGCCCAAGCGTCCGCAAGTGAGGGCTGAGTTGGGCCTGGACAGAGGCCAGACATTGCGTGCGCTCCTTCGACTGATCAGGGAGATGACGCCTGACCGCATCGCAATGGCACAGAGCGTGGGTACAGAGAGCAAGCATCTTTTCAAGATGACGAGTGGCGCGCGGCCAATTTCACAGGACTCGTCCGTCGAACCTGGCACGGTCAGGTGGGAGATGAGGTCCTGCACTGATTCAAGCCACGTGCCTTCGTCAGAAGATGAAGCGAAAAGGGAAGGCCCAACAAAGGAACAGGAGGAAGACACAGCTCCCAGAATCCGCCAAAGAGTGGCTTCCCTTCGGTGGTCTGAGCGGGTTTAGCTTGTCAGTTCTGGGGCTCCTGCACGCCTCTGATTTCACGGCTGAAGTCGGGATGCCCGTGGGCGAGGGGTGCGGGAAGCCACCGAAGCGCAAATGCAATTCCCAGAGAAGGTGGTCCCCGTTCTGTGCCCAGAGCGGAGAGACCGACTGACTCGCTGGTCGAGATCTCGATGCAATTTTTTAATATGATGATCAAATCAGAAATTGGACCAAAAGACATGGATGTGCACGTACCCAACGCTGCCCCGGCGGGGGGGGATAGGCCGGCCCAGGGTGCTCCCTCGGATGGGGGCGGGGGTAATGTGCCTCCTTCGCCGCCCACCTGCGCCTTCCGGGGGGCCTTGGGGCGATGCAGTGGTGGCCCCAGCCGAGGCCCCCGCCCCGGCGGGAGCGGGCCCGGTGATGATCCGTCCGATGGAAGCGATGACGGCTTTCCTCCCGACGGCCCCTTGCCAGCATTCGCGATCTTGCTTGCGTTTGGCTGGAAGCCGAGGGTGCCGTGGACAGTGATGGGGAAACTGGTAATGACGACGGACCGTGGACTGGACCTGGATTCTTCGTTCAAGAACCCAGAGTCTGAAAAACATTGCCGACTTCGGTTTTACCCAGCAGTGCGGTGCGACAACCAACGCGATGGACGATTTTAGGGTCGCATCCCCATTCGCTGGGCAAGACTCGCACGCATGTGCCAAGAGGAAGATGAAGCGCAGCAAGTATTTCTCTGCGCCGGGCAAGTTGGCGCGAAAAGACGGGCGTGGTTTTAGGCTGATCGTCGCCAAGGTATGTAGTGATCCAGTGGGGGCACGTAAGTGCAGCCAAAAGAAGACGAGCCACAATATAATTGGTGGCCGGTTCAACGATAAGACCTATTTGGCTGCCGACAGCTACTTTTGTGATCGAAGGGGCGAGGGATGTGGATTTCTTCAACTTCCAGGACGTGAAGCAATATTCTTGCAACATAGACGTGGACCATCAGCAAGTGAGGATAATTAATAATAACTATGGGTTCAAAAGGAGTTCGTGGAGGAACACATGCATGTTGAAAGGGTTCGAGACAAAAAAACATGGAGAGACGAATGCGGTTATCCAACTCCCGATTTTGTTGCCAGAAATACAATCGACTGAATCGCAATGGGCAAGTATAAGAACAGGTTGCACGCTTTCATGATCGGACGAGGCGCGGAGTGCCGGGGTGCGCCTTCGATGTTCGATCTTGCTGCCGCCCCAGTCAGGTCGGCGATGTAGGAAATGGATGCGTTCACCACCACATCTGAGTGGTGTCGCAGCTGGCCGCGTCGGAACCCCCATTCCGTAATCCTCGCGGCTCAAGCAGGCCCCAGGCCCGCGCAGTTTTCTCGGGTTTCGATTCCAGAACTTACGCGCGGGATTTCGAATTGTTTGCTGCTGCGGGCCCAGGCTCCCGCGCCGCGCCCGGAACGCGCCCTGGCAGCGAACTGCCACTGCCCGCCGGTGGAGCCGACCCAGGCGCGGGAGGTCTACCGCTAGCGGGCGAACCCGTTCGGGCAGGCGGCGGCGGCGCTGGCGGTCTTCCTGTCGGGCGTCGCGGTCGGCGGGCAGCTCGGCGCCAGACCGCCTCGAGCGCCCGGCTGCGAGCGCAGGAGGGCGCGGGTCGGAGGGTCGGTGCCCGCGCCAGCAGCGGAGGACACAGACATCCTGGCCCCGGCCAGGCAGCAAGCGGCCGCGGCGCGCCCGCGCCAGTCGCTCGCCTTGCAGCGATGGCGACGCCAGCCGCTGGGGCCCACCCCCTCGGGCTACAGGAGGCGGCGTTCTTCGCGATCAGGTCTAATGTCGGCGGCCCGGAGCTCTGGAATTCGAGGTGCTGCGCAGGAGCAGCGCCAGCACGCGCGGCGGGGGCGACCGCCGTCGCGCCAGACATGGACGAGCACGAGGAGGACCTCACCATCGGAGCGGATGTGACTTGCGCGCAGTCTGAGGCCCTGGTGGATACGTCGGACACGCAGGAGCGGGCGCCTCGCATTGGCGCTTTCGGGCGGTCCCGACGCCAGCGCAGTTGACTGTTGCTCGAGCTGCTGGCTACATTCGCGCAGGCGCTCCTCCGCCGGCGGGGTTGGTCCAACCTCGGTTGGGAGGCCACCCCGCGGTCGGCGCCCCGCCCTCACAGGGGGCGCCGCGCTGAGCGGGCTTGGAGCCGCGGCGGGGCGCGCGGCAGCAGGTGCGATCGGCGGGCTCCCTGGCGGGGCCTTTGACCCCGGGGCTGTTCCCGCGGCTGCCACGGCGGCCCGCGGCCCAGCTCCTGGGGGGCCGATTCCCGGGCCCGCGCCTGCTACCCCCCCCCCGCAGCTCTGGCCCCCGCGGGCGGCGGCGGAGCCGTCGCCGCAGCGACGAGGGCCCGCCCCTGGAGGAGGGCATGCCCGTCTTGCCGCAGCGTAGGACCTTGGGGGCCTGCCCCCCTCGGCGGAGGAGCTGCTGCGCCCGCGGCCCCCGCGGCCCTCGCTGGAGGCTAGCCCTCCGCCCTTCCAGCTGCTGCAGCACCGTCGCCGACGCTCGCGCAGGCGTCGCGATTTTCGCGATCAAGCGGTTTTTACTTAACAGCGAAGGCTGATAGGTTTCTAATAGAGTCAAAAGAAAGCATCATGACTCCCCAGGGGCCCCAGGGGGGTCTGGGCGGCATCCGGACAGGGATCCGCGGAAGTCGTTTTAAGCAAACAGTTACACATTTCGTGGTCTTCGAGGTCCCAGAACTCCATTCCTGGGCCACATTCTGAATGCCCGGAGCCTACTGTAGGCCACTTCGTGGTCTTCGAGTTCCCAGAACTCCATTCCTGGGCATGATTTTGAATGCCCGGAGCCAACTATAGGCCACTTCGTGTTTTTCGAGCTCCCAGAACTTCATTTCCGGGCCACATTTTGAATGCTGAGGCAGGCTGATGCTGAGGCTGAGGCAGGCTGAGGCTGAGGCAGGCTGAGGCTGAGGCCGAGGCTGAAGGCAGACTGAGGCTGAGGCTGAAGCAGGCTGAGGCTGAGGCTGAGGCAGGCTGAGGCTGAGGCTGAGGCAGGCTGATGCTGAGGCAGGCTGAGGCTGAGGCTGAGGCTGATGCAGGCTGAGGCTGAGGCAGGCTGAGGCTGAGGCCGAGGCTGAAGGCAGACTGAGGCTGAGGCTGAAGCAGGCTGAGGCTGAGGCTGAGGCAGGCTGAGGCTGAGGCTGAGGCAGGCTGATGCTGAGGCAGGCTGAGGCTGAGGCTGATGCAGGCTGAGGCTGAGGCTGAGGCTGAGGCCGAGGCTGAAGGCAGACTGAGGCTGAGGCTGAGGCTGAAGCAGGCTGAGGCTGAGGCAGAGGCAGGCTGAGGCTGAGGCTGAGGAGGCAGGCTGATGCTGAGGCAGGCTGAGGCTGAGGCTGAGGCTGATGCAGGCTGAGGCTGAGGCAGGCTGAGGCTGAGGCCGAGGCTGAAGGCAGACTGAGGCTGAGGCTGAAGCAGGCTGAGGCTGAGGCTGAGGCTGAGGCTGAGGCTGAGGCAGGCTGAGGCTGAGGCTGCAGGCTGGCTGAGGCAGGCTGAGGCTGAGGCTGAGGCTGAAGCAGGCAGGCTGAGGCTGAGGCAGGCTGAGGCTGAGGCTGAGCTGAGGAGGCAGAGGCTGAGGCTGAGGCTGAGGCTGAGCAGCTGAGGCTGAGGCTGAGGCAGGCTGAGGCTGAGGCTGAGGCAGGCTGAGGAGGCAGGCTGAGGCTGAGGCTGAGGCTGATGCAGGCTGAGGCTGAGGCAGGCTGAGGCTGAGGCCGAGGCTGAAGGCAGACTGAGGCTGAGGCTGAAGCAGGCTGAGGCTGA